CAGAACCTTTCTGCATCGTCGCACGCCAGGGGGAACGAGAACTAAGGCACGGCGTTAATAATCTACTGAGAACGGTGGGTGTGCCAGGGTACGCCCTCCTGAAGAGTGTTCCGGCTAGGGAGGTGGACCGGCAAGTCAGGCGGTACCCAAGGAGCTGCCCAGTCGGTACTAGTGGAGTTGGGGAACCCTAGGTAAAGGGACGTGTGCCTGGCAGCCACTGGCGTAATGAAAACCGCAACAGCAGGGAGGTTCTCGGTAGAACCGGATCTTCTCGCTGGAGAGAATGCATGAATATCAGGAATGAGACGCAGCTGAGAACGACACAAACTGTCAGAACACCAAAAGTCAGTGTCAGTTGAATGGATTGTACACTCTTGCTACTCAAGGTTGGTAGTTCTAGCGAGACATGCAAGTGTAGCCAGACGCAGTATGGTAGAAATAATTAGCCCCGTACTGAAGAGAATCACATCAACTCCAGTGTTGAGGACGAATGTAACAAAAAACGCAGAAAGAACTCTGCAGTAGCACCCGATTGTAAGGTCAGCCAGTTTAAAAGCCTGAGAGGCCAAAGTCAAAAGAAGGACTGCAGCTGTTGTACAGCAGTACCTCATCATCATCATCGTACAGCGAAATACAGTAAGGCGAAATTTACCGATCTGTGCCAAACTCGCAATGCATACAAGGTTAGTGGTAAAATTTAAAGTGGACAGGAATTGAACCTATTTTTTATTTTTATTTAAACCTGGAATGTTGACCATAGAGGTTCACCTTCTTCCCCCTCCCTCAACCGAGAAGAAATCTGCAGAATGTGTTCATAGGTTGTGTGGGCATGTTTCTTCTCGGTTGAGGGAGGGGGAAGAAGGTGAACCTCTATGGTCAACACAGAGTGTACAATCGAACTCTGCATACATACCGTTTCCAGCATTCTGACCTGATAAGAAACGAAAACAAAAACGCCACTGCTGCCGGTTTGCTGCCATATCCTTCAATGTCCCCAACCAACCAGTTGTGGAGTCTTTCGGACCCAAATCTGAAAGGTGAGAGACACCTACTCTACCTAATGGCTCTATGCATTTCTTCATGCCTCGTCTCCACGTCATCTGTTGACCTCCATGCGGTTTCCTCCAACCCGGATTAGCTACAGCGAATAAAGCGCGGTGCGGCAGACGACAGCTGGGTATACGCAACACGTGCCCTAGCCGACGAAGTCTACTAATCTGAATTCGGTGTGCCAGCGGGTTTGTACCAGATAGACTCCCAAACACACGACGGTTTACCTCCAGATTACTCACCCCTTTGCTTCATCCAATGTAAGTTAAAGTACGTAAACATCGATAATCGAAAACTTCCAGTCGACGGATATCTACTACTCGCAAATTCAGGGTCTCACAGCTATAATGCAGGACTAAACGAACACCAGCACAATATACACGACCTTTCAACTTCAGTGAAATGTCGCGTCTACGCCAAAGGTGTTTCAGTCCTGCGCATGTTACTCGAGCCTTGGAAACGCCGGCGGTTATCTCCTTTGCTGTACTACCGTCGTTGGTTTCAGAGCGAGGTAGATAGAACCCAGTCCAGCAGCATCACTTGGCCTTTTGAAGGTGCAAAGCACATACCGAATGTGGCAACTGTACTTCTTTGTCTATCAAGTGTGCTTTGCGCGTCATCCATATATTCGAACAGACAGACGATGTCATCGGCGTATTCTTAATCGC